CTACCTGCAACTGTTTGAGGAACCTCAATACCATTTTCCACAGAGGCTGCACCATTTTGCAATCCCACCAACAATGTATGAGAGTTCCTTTTTCTCCGCAACCTCGCCAGCATTTATCGTTCAGAGTCTTTTGGATTTTAGCCATCCTCACTGGGGTGAGATGGTATCTCAGTGTAGTTTTGATTTGCATTTCCCGGATGCTGAGTGATATTGAGCATTTTTTCATATGTCTGTTGGCCATTTGTATATCTTCCTTAGAGAAATGCCTGCTTAGCTCTTTTGTCCATTTTTTAATTGGATTGCTTGTTTTGTTTTTTTCTTGTAGACTTGTTTGAGTTCCTTATATATTCTGGATATTAATCCTTTGTCAGATGTATATTTTGCAAATATTTTCTCCTACTCTGTTGGTTGTCTTTTAAATCTGTTAATTGTTTCTTTTGCTATGCAGAAGCTTTTTAGTTTAATATAATCCCATTTGTTTATTTTTCCTTTTGTTGCCCGTGCTTTTGGGGTCATATTGATGAAGTCAGTGTCCAGTCCTATTTGCTGAAGTGTTTCTCCTATGTTTTCTTTAATAAGTTTTATTGTTTCAGGGTGTATGTTTAAATCCTTGATCCATATTGAGTTGATTTTAGTATACGGTGAGAGGTATGGGTCTAGTTTCATTCTCCTGCATATGGATATCCAGTTATCCCAGCACCATTTGCTGAAGAGGCAGTCCCTACCCCAGTGAATAGGCTTGGTGCCTTTGTCAAAGATCAGATGGCAGTAAGTGTGTGGGTTGATTTCTGGATTCTCTATTCTGTTCCATTGATCAGTGTGTCTATTTTTGTGCCAGTACCATACTGTTTTGGTTATTATAGCTTTGTAGTATTGTTTAAAGTCAGGTAGTGTTATGCCTCCAGCTTTATTTTTTTTTGCTCAGCATTGCTTTGGCTAAGCGTGTTTTTTTGTTATTCCATACAAATATCTGGATAGTTCTTTCCATTTCTGAGAAAAATGTCATTGATATTTGGTGGGGATTGCATTGAATTTGTATATCACTTTGGGTAGTATGGCCATATTCACTATGTTGATTCTTCCAATCCAAGAGCATGGGATATCTTTCCATCTTCTTGTATCCTCTCTAATTTCTCTCAGGAGTGGTTTGTAGTTCTC